AGAGAGAGAGAGAGAGAGAGAGAGAGAGAGAGAGAGAGAGAAAGAGAGAGAGAGAGAGAGGGAGATCCTCACCGTATCACAGACAAGAGATAGCCTGAATTGTTCCGCGTCTTGCAACTGGGACAACATAAACTATAAACGTCTCTAATGCCCGCCCTGACTTTCCAGCAGGGGGCCAAGAAAATGGAACAATATTCTTACTTCACTTATTTCATTTGAGGAGAATCACATTGACATAATAACAGTACAGTCAGATAGTGCTGGGAAATAGTCAGATTTGGTAAGAGTTTTACGGCACTAGTAACACAATTAGATCATTCATATATAGGCGCTGAAGATTAGAACTGCTAGCTACACGAAAGTTAACAAACACAAAAAAGAGGGAGGAGGGATAAGGGCGGATAGATGTTTGTAAGGAAAGAAGGAGCAATAAATGACACCAGAGCACCCACGGAAATAGTAAGACAGACATAATAATTGATACAGAAACGACAGTTGGATACACCAAAGTAGGTGTTGCATCCGGATCTCAGAGGGTTGGGGTCCGTGTGCGACACCTCGCCTTTGAAGGGGTTGCACCTTCTGCAGACGAAGCAGTGGGTCTATTTATATCCCCCAGACCCACTGGGGGTATAACACACATCAAGAGCAAATCAGCCACAAAATTAATACTCCCTCAAAAAATGAAATGCTCCAAAATGCCAAGATTTCAGTAGCAAATTATCTTTTAGTCATACTTGCATGCTAATATCTGGTGGAGGTTTTTTGTGTGTGCATAGTTCGTTGTCAATCATATTGAGATACAAAAAAACCCCAACTACTTAACATCAAGTCCACAAAACTTTGGAACTTCAAACAAAACATTATTAATTAATGTCCTCTCTCATTGACGTTCATAGATTTCCTTTCAGCATGTGACAGATGTGAAGTAGTTTTTTTTTTTTTTTTTACTGCATTTCGACTTTGATATCTTATGCTGAATATCAATTTCCCTTTTTATTATCTTACCCTATGGTTGATCATTCTTTTTTTCTGCATCTAGATGTTGATACACTCCCATGGACAAAATTTCAATACAACGTTCGGGGGGTGGGGGGGGGGGGAGGGTGGGGAGGAAGCGGCTTCCACCCTACTCGTCTTGGGCCAGCATAAGTTGAGAGGCAGACTGAGTAACAGCAGGAAAGACCTAGATTCAGGATTTTAAAAAGTCTCCCCACAAGAGAATCGAACTCCTCGAGTCTTCTGCCAGCGGTGGCCAAGTGCCTACCTGCTACACCACAGACACTGGTCTGGTCGTTCTGACACCTACCTTAATGAGGGTGACAGCCACTGCTGTGGATTTGATCTTGCCTTTCAACTTCTCACAGATGCCTTTGACAAACTGGTGGGGAAGCACAAAGATGAATATGTCGGCACCCTGGCTGGCTTCCACCACGTCCGGAACAGCTATCTGTTGATTGAAAAAAAAAATTACACGTATACATGTTATATAATTGTAGATGTTTATCGACACGCCCCCATCATCATCAAAATTCAGAATAATTAAGGAGGCGGGCGGGCAGGCTCTTTCGACCTTGAATGTTGATGCGGTCAATTTAGGATGAGAGTGACACAACATCCCAGCAGATGATATATATATATATATATATATATGGTCGCTTTTAAGCACAAGGGGGCTATCCCGAAAAATGCTGTTTTGAGAAAATCAAAGGTAAAGTTTTTGCCCCTTTTTGAGTTTCTTTAAAAGACAAGGAGAGTTTTCTCTATAACCAAACAAATATACACCTGAATGAAACCAAACTTCTTCTATAGGTAGGGCAATGCCCACTTTAGGTGCAGGTCAAGATTTCTGGAAACCCCTGAAATCTGAGTTAGCCCGCTTGTCCAAAAGGGACCATATATATAAATATGTGTACTTGACACCCCCCCCCCCTCTCCATAGGAATCAAACTCATGCCTTTTGTGAGAGATGGGTAAGAGCCGTACTGCCACACCACAGAAGCTGGTTGCTATCTGTTGGTCAAAATGATCAAACAAAACTAAAAATTAAGTGCAGGTATATTTGCGCCTTCATCAACACTATTTAGATCTTTTGAGAGGCGGGCTTCCGACTCTGCCTTTCAGGTCATATCCGGGCTAAGTGGGATCAACATCCCAGTAGAAAGATCGACCTATTCGACAGAAATTTCCCCCCTATAAGGGAATCAAACGCGGGTCTCCTGCATGTGACAGCAAAGCCTCTAATCGTTACACCACAAACAATGGTAAGATTAGAATATATATGTGTGCGTGTATATATATATATAATATACATGTATGCTATATATTTTTAAAATATATATATATATACATAAAAATATATATATATATATAAATATATATATACATGTATATACATAGAAAATACTTATAAAAAATATATATTTACTCTCTCTCACTCACTCTATCTATCTCTCTCTCTCTCTCTCTCTCTCTCTCTCTCTCTCTATCTATCTATAGGTGGGTGTCTCTCTATATATATATATTTACATAAAAAGATATAACATATATGTATATTATACACAGAGAGAGAGAGAGAGAGAGAGAGAGAGAGAGAGAGAGAGAGAGAGAGAGAGAGAGAGAGAGAGAGAGAGAGAGAGAGACAGAGAGAAAGAGAATATTATATATAACAAAGCAACAACAAAAAACCCAAAAAACCAACATCAGTTGCCGCGCAAAAGGAATAGAACGGGCCAAGTACACGCAACAGTCAGTTTCAGTGAAAAAGTGTTTTTCCCTTCGTCATTTGCCTCGCCCCGGGTCAAGGCACACAGCCCTGCCATTGCCGCAACGATAGCGCGGGGAGGTTTTGTTTTGTTTTGTTAGTTTTTTTTTCCTGAGAGGTAGGACCTACGAATTTAACGTCAATGTCCTTTTTTCTTTTTCTTTTGGTAAGTGTTTTATGGCATGCACAACTGCATAAATTCATATTATGAGCGCACGGGACCCATTTTAAACATTTTCAGCTGGTAGGGAATTTAGAATTTTTCTCGGGTGGCGCCCGAAGCCTACTCTTATCGATTTTGGACCACCAAGGGATCTTTAACGTGCGCAACTTGCACACGAGACCTCCAAGATTTTTTGCCCGTGTCCGAGAAGGCTTGGTGTAGATCTTTCCTATCATAAGATCAGGGGTGTGACTGAAAGACAGCAGTAAGGAGCCGAGGAGTAGCAGTAGAAAGGCTGCAGAAAGAGTCGGGGGCCCAGAAGAGGGGGCAAAGGAGGTGACAGAACATTGTTAGAGAGCAGGAAAGGGTGTGAAAGGAGAAAACTAATTATAGAGAAGAACATTTTCCGCCGCTATCCGGATTCGAACCCGGGACCCTATTGAATGAAAGGCGATCACCTTAACCTCTAGGCCACGAGAGCCCGCTGTGAGGTTTTGTTTAGTTGTTTTTTTTTGGTGCTGTAAAGCGCATTGAGCTACATTTTTTTGGAAATGCGCCAAATAAATGTTATATTATTATTATCATTATTATCATTATTATTAGGACCTACGAATTGAATGTCAATATCCTATAGGACCGGGTACAATGGGCGGCCAGCTTTGAAAACTCTCCCAAAACAACCCCAAAGTAGTCCAGAACGCCCTGTTGGTGGGATTAGAACCAGGCCCGCCCGTTCTGTAGCCCAGTGTGATACCAACTGAGCTAACTCAAACCATTTGAGTCAAGAATTTCCCACGTTCACTTTAGTTTTAGTTAAGTGTTTTACGGCACTTGCAACACAATAAGGCAATAAGGTAATATAAGTGCCGAAGCTTAGAGGTGTTACAAGGGAGTAACAAACACAAAATAGAAGGAGGGGAGATAAAAACGATAGAGGTTTGATAGGAAAGAATGAGAAAACCACACCAGCACACCTGCCAACCACCCGCATGTGCACTTTGGTACAGTTTTAGTTTCGTTTTAGTAAGAGTTTTACGGCACTTGCAACACTATTGGGTCATATAAGAGCCGAAGATTACCATTTCGGGACTTCACGGTGACATTAAAGATGGTTCCAGTGAGGAACGAGATAGAGGGTGCCCACGTCCCTCGTGACTCATTGGAGCAGAGGAAGTTTACATTGAAACGCAATCCCACATCATCACCATTGCTCTCAGATCAATGACTTACATTTATAATCTTTGAATCTCTATCTGTAACAGTTACTTGTCATACTAAGTATGCACGTAATACACAGACTAGTAGACACTATCATACGCACGTTTTGCTACTAATCATATGGCGTCAATTTCATATAAATGGGCAAGGGCTAAAAAAAAAAAAGTGCCGAAGATTAGACGTGTTACAAAAGAGTAACAAATGTAAAAAAAAAGAAGGAGAGATCAGGACGATAGGTGTTTGATAGGAAAGAAGGGGCAAACCACACCAGAGGATCCACTAACTATCAACTTGGTACAGTTTATGTAAAGAGAAAGTAATGTAATTGTGGAAGTGTTAAACCTCCATCGACACATTTCATATAATTTATTTATTAATTAATTAATTAATTAATTTTTTTTTTTTTTTTTTTTTTTTTGGGGGGGGGGTGCTTCGTTCAACGTCCAACAGCACCCGTCCTAGCGGAACAAATGAATAACAGTCATTTCGTTTTTGTAAGAATGTTACGGCACTTACGACACAGATACAGATAAGTCTCAGAAGTTTCGAAGATTAGAAGTGTTACTTCTGAAGAGTAACATAGAAATAAAGAAGCAGAAAAGGTAAAGACAATAGATGTATAGATGTTTGATAGGAAATGAGAAAACCCGAGCGAAGCACCCGCCAAGGAATGACTGGTAGAGCAGACAGAAAGAAGAAAGAAGGAGAGATGAGAAGTAAGTAGAGATACTGATGGCACCCCCCAAAAAAAAAAGATTAAAAAAGATTTTTAAATTTGTTTCGTTTTTTTCTTTCTTTTTCTTTTGGTACACATTATATGCAAATATCCCTGAGAGGAAAAAAAAGTGGGTAATAAGGCTATGAAAGTCGTACCTTGGGAGTCCTAAATTCGAAAGAACCTCTGTCGACTCTGGTCGCTGCCACAACGTTTTTTTTTTGGTTGGTTTTTTGTTTGTTTAGTTTTAGTAAGAGTTTTACGGCGCGTGCAACACAAATGGGTCACAAAAAGTGCAGAAGATTGGAGGCGTTACTTGCCTTTCATTGGCGCAAACTCAGAGAGAGAGAGAAGAGAGAGAGAGAGGGAAAGAGAGAGAGAGGGAAAGAGAGAGAGAGGGAAAGAGAGCGCGAAAAAAAAAAGAGAGAGAGAGAGAGAGAGAGAGAGAGAGAGAGAGAGAGAGAGAGAGAGAGAGAGAGAGAGAGAGAGAGAGAGAGAGATCTGACTGTTGTATACAGCAGGTGACCGTTAGTGCAGGTTTGACAAGACTTCAGTGTACGGTCCAGGGTCCCAGTCGGCATAAAACGGAGTCCACTGCTGGTTTTCTCTACCCTAAAATTACAAAGTTCTATCTGCTCAGTACCTAGTTTTGAGAATTTTGACGTGAAAACATTTCTTGCGTTTCACATGTCAAGCTTTTTCGGACGCAATTTTTCGAATATCTTAACAATAACGACGCCGAGCAATCTTCCGATTTTGAGACAGCAGATAGAACATTAAATGCTTTTGTTGTTGTTTTTTGTGTTTTTTTAAACCTCGAAACTGTCTTAAACGGCCACACGGTATGTATCGAGGAGAAAAGTGGCCGTCTTACACAGCCAGTGTTATTATAGCGTAAAAACACCCAAGGGAAGAAATGGGAAGAGGCCAGTGGTACAGGTGGAGAGAGAGAGAGAAAGAGAGAGAGAGAGAGAGGGAGAGAGAG